TCTTCTCCAACGCCATCAATTTACCTGCAAATGCCATGATTTTATTCTCTTTTATTGCTGAGTAAAATTCCATTGTGTATATATGCCACACTTTTTTATCCATTCATCCACTGAAGGGCATCTAGGTTGGTTCCACAGTTTAGCTATTATGAATTGTGCTGCTATAAACATTGATGTGGCTGTGTCCCTGTAGTATGCAGTTTTTAAGTCCTTTGGGTATAGTCTGAGGAGAGGGATAGCTGGGTCAAATGGTGGTTCCATTCCCAGCTCTCCAAGGAATCTCCATCCTGCTTTCCATATTGGCTGTACTGACTTGCAGTCCCACCAGCAGTGTATGAGTGTATCTTTTCCCCACATCCTTGTGAATACTTAATGTTGTTTGTCTTCATAGTAGCTGCCATTCTGACTGGAGTGAGATGATATCTTAGAGTAGTTTTGATTTGCATTTCTCTAATTACTAGAGAAGATGATGGGGCAATAATTTTCAACTGATAAAATGGAGAGAATCAAGCCTCTTGGAAAGGAGATGGGTCATATATAATTTGAAAAAAACCCAAAGTAATTCTGAATTGCCCAACCACACATGACAGAACACTCAAATGAGAGCATAATAATGTCACTAATTCTCTTGGCCACTTAACTAATTCTATTCATACTTCTATATGAGTTCATATCTAGTGTCACAAACTAGAACATAAACATCATCTCAAGTAATCTGCATTATGTACAATATTAGAACTGATTCTATTCATTTCCTCTTTAAAATTCAAAGTCAGCTTTCCATTTACTTTCTCTTTCTTCTCACTTGAAAATTCTCCACCCTATTAAAAGGCACAGCTGTGACAATTATAAGTTTCAACTGTGTTCCCATCCATTTAATCTCCTAAATGTGTTCCAAGCATTAATGACAGGTTGTGCTTCATCATAGAGACAGCTGGGCTTCAGGGAGAGGTACAATGTTTCATTATCTCACTCTATTGTATAATACAAATGTGCTATTGTATTACATGTGAAATGTCATCACTGAAGTCTACTAAGGGTGTGCTGTGAGGTGAGCCATCTGGAAAACACAGAGGAGAAAATAATTATAAGAGTTTATTGTCACCCTCCCCCCAGTTTACCCTAACAAGACTGCTGCTGTACACTATTTAATGTAAAGAACAGAGGCTTTGAAGTCATGGTTAGGTAGTCTACAAGTTTCTTAACTTCTCTGATCCTTAGATGCTATCTGTAAAATTAAGGTACTAATGCATACTGTATAGTTTTAAATAAAATAGAACTTTTTAAAATACTGTTTTAATAAAATAGCACTTCTAAGGTGCTGGATAGGAGGCATACAACAAGTGTGATTTTTCCTCTCTTAAGTATAGAAAATGTTTATTAAACCTTAGAAAGAATATTAGGTAACTCAATAATATTTGGAAACCAGGTTGGGCAGATTGGTTTAGTTAAAAAAATTTTTTAAAAAGCGTCCATTGACCATTTTTGTGGCTTCCTTTTTATTTGAAGGGAGGGGGGRAAAGGCATTGAAGGATCAAATTTGAAGCTTCTAGAATTCCCCATTTGGAGCTGTTTAGGACCACCCAGAAGTATGAACAGGGGAGGCGCTGTCCATGGTGCTAGCGATCACAAATGCCCCTAGCAACATTTCCCCCGCCCAAATTTCTTTTGGGTCAATTTGTTTAGGAAAACTTAAATATCTACCTCGGAAAAAGCTCCCCCACCCCGCCTTACCATGCTTTTCTTCTATCCCTGTCAAACACAAACAAATCTCTTCCACTTTCTTATCAACTTCAAATGGCTTTTCCCTCAGATGCATTGGCCATGCCTACCACTKAAGAAGTTGGTTCAGATTATCATTTCCTGGTCTTTTTTGATAAACTGCAGAGAAATCCAGAGCTCAAAGTACAGTGAGAGGAAACAGTTTATTTCTGATGCATCCTTGAAAGAATCTCTTCAGTTGGCTCCTCCTCTAAAAGTTCCTTCACCCTGAGTTGCTTCCTTCAACCTTAGTCTCCAAGTACCCTGTTGATATATCTCAGTAAAATTTTCATATTAAATAGAAATTCTCCATCAGTTCCAAGTGCCACTACAGAGACTTTCTTAAAAACTAGGGTCCCATATCTTACTCAACTCTGGATACGTAGAATATAGGACATGTTGAACTAAATTTTGTTGAACTAAACTTAATTCTTGACTCCATTAGAGAGAAGATCCCAACAACATTTCTTGAAAGTCAGCCTACGTTACACATGAATGTGCACTGAATTATGGAGTAGCTTGGATTTTCTGATGAAAATGTCCTGGACTAAGTTCATTAACATAAGTCTGGAGAGTCAGCCTCTCAGATTACTGACAAAATACCAATGCCACTCATCTCAAATGCTCTGACTTCCAACTACCCATCTTTCTTCTTCCTTCTCCTGTCTACCTACACACCTGTAATTCTCAATACTCTGTCCATGGGGACTGGTTCTCAAGTAAGACAAAAAGAGTGCATCCATGTTTTTCACCCAGAGGTAGATGTCTATTCTTCTGTCCAAACCTAAGAATGGGATGGCCATAAACAAATTTAAGGGCATTTTCTCCAGATAAATATGGAAGTTCAAATAAAAGAGACAGGTAGAGGAACCCAGAAACTAAGAAATAGGGTAGGAAAGAGAGAAATTATAACTGTATCTCTTGCCCTACTGTGTCAAAGGTGAATTTTAGCCCCTTTGAGTCAATAGATCTTCCTCCCCAAATGCCACTTCTGTGCCCCTCTGTCTCAAGGAAATAGCTTTCCCTGATTTTTAAAGGGGAAGTCCAAGCTAGAAGAAATGTGTTCTGAAGTCTCTTGTTTTTTTAATAAGAAAGCAAAAGACCTCTCTTTGAGACTCATCTTTCTCAGGACTCTGAACTTATTTTGTAAATAACTTCTTGGTGTTAGGAGAAATCCGCTGCCAAGTAGTTTCTCACCAGAGTTTTTGACTACAGATGCATAACTTGTGATTATCTTCCTATTTCAATGTAGTATCACTTGTACTATTTTAAGTTGTCAAAGCAATAAGTGTGTTGGTTTAAACTCACTTATGAAGATTAGGAAGAAGTGATCTTTAAATCTTCAAAAGTGGATTTAATGACAGGTTCAGCCAGTTTAATGACAGGCCCAGTACCACACCCATGTTTTATTATGTTTCATTATTACTGCATAAATGTCCTTATTAGTCATGGTAAATAAAAATCAAACACACGCTGAGGTGGGTTTAAATAGGTTTGAGGGCAAAGATACATCTCACAAATATCATGAAACAGATCTTAGGTGTTTCGTGGTTGTTTGAGATGGGGTCATTCTACTTGCTYAGGCGCACCTGGCACTCTGGGACTCAAGTGATCCTCCTGTCCCAGCCTCCTGAGTAGCTGGAACTTCGGGCAAGCGTCAGCAGGAGTTTCGGATTCTTAAAACGCATCTGTATATATGTGTTACCTATGCCAGGTTTCTAGTCTTGATCTCTTTTCTAAAAAGAAAATTATTTATTTCAGAACCATATTAACAATTCAAAGATTAAAAAATTAAAAGCACGCGCGGAACAGGATTCTCAGAATTTTTCACTATTTTTCTGGATGACTAATTCAAATAGACACACCCAAAAGAAAATTGCTAAGGTTACTGCACGATGTGAAACTCGTGAAGTTCAAGTACTGCCTGGGGGTGAATTCACCCTCCATGACAGGTGCAGAGCTGTCACCTTCAGGCATCTTAAGAAAGTAGGAGTTATTTTCAAAGGTTTTCTCTCAGCCACTCCATTGCAATGCAGCCACTAATGTCTCCAGACCGGTTGGCCTATGACTAAAGGAATGGAAGTCCACTGCTCCGCCTGCTGGGGATTAGGAGCTGAGCGCTGTGGGTCAATATTTCCAAACACGTAGCCTTCACTTTACCGGACACCGAGGCAGCAGAGCGGCGAGGGTTCCAGGAGGTGCCTTCACAGGATCTCTGGCTCAGCAATCGTAGGATCTTCTGCGCCCGCTGCCCGCCTCCCTCCGCCACCCCCCACCAGCCCTAAACCACCGCCCCCATCGCCTATGACGCCATCGGCCAGCTTCTGGACGCCTCCCCCAACCCCAGGGACGCGCCCGCGCTGGCCTGCCCGACTGGAGGCGGAGCCTAGGGGGGCGGGGAGAGCCGGGCCCCGCCGCCCAGCTGGAAACCGAATTCAGTCGCAGCTGGCTCCCCACACTGCCAGAGTCAGGCTGCGGTCGCGCCAGACGCTTTTTCCCAGGAGCAAGCCACGAGCGTCGGCTGGTTCTCCGGCTCCAGAAAAAAACTCAGATCTAACCACCAGCCACTCGATCATTGCACCGGCCGCAAACTGCAGGACAGCGACAGGGGGCTGAAGCTAAGCCTTGCTCTCCTGAGGAGGGTGGAGTGCGCCGCAGCGGTGTGGAACGCCGTGGAGGGTCGCTAAACTCACGGCCAGCGGTGGATTATCCGAACCGCTCGGTGTCTGGAGGCTGAGGAATGCGAGAGGAGGACAAGGGCATGCTCGGTGGTAGCAGCAGCGATGCGGGCCTGGCCAACGCCGCGGCACGGGGACAATTGGAGAAGGTGCGGCAGCTCCTGGAAGCCGGTGCAGATCCCAATGGAGTCAACCGCTTCGGGAGGCGCCCRATCCAGGTAGCTGGGGCCCCGGGGCCCCGCCGGCAGGGGGCGCGCGAGAGCGCGGCGAGCCTTCCGCGAGTCTGGGCCGCGACCCAGACAGATCTCCACCGACACAGACCTGGGCAGCTGTTTCTGGCTCTCTTGCTGAAGCAGGTGCAGGGCAGGATTTTACCCAGGGGGGGGGGGGGGGGAATCCTAAAGAAAAAAAAAAGTAGAGTTTGAACAAACCACTACTTCAGTTTGGTTTTCTTTTTCTCCTTTGCGGTGCTGGGGAATCAAACTCCAGGCCTGGTGAATGCTAGGCGAGTACACTATGACTGAGCTGCATCTATAATCCTCGCTTTTCTTTTTTATAGTGGAAAATATCAATATTTGCTCTGCATCTCATGATCAGAGATGCAATGAAGAAATTCAACTGGGAGGAAACGGGGAAAGGAAAGGCCAATTAGGGAAGACTGTTTTGTTTGTCTACTTTCCAGAATAAAGATAAGTAAATTCCAGGTTACACAATCTGGATTGAATTTAAGGAATTAACAAAATCATAGTGCATGAAAGAATTCACTGTGAACTTTAAGCCATTGTATAAAATCTTTTATATTTTTCCCTCATAGAGAGGAGTTGAATTTAGAGGAGTGAGACAGAATTCCCAACCACAGTATTTAATTCCTTTTATTTTACATTAGCAGTGTCTCTTGAGTGATGCATGGTAGGAAAAAAAATGTACTTCTTTAGTTTATTATTATTATTATTATTATTTGTCATACTCAAAGCTTGGGTTACAAAAGCATTTCTATAGCAGCTATTAGGTCCTTTTAGAATAGCAAGGGGTTTTCATAGATGATTGCCTTTTCATTGTTAAGGTACAGTTATTCAAAGTTTACTAACGCTGATTTAATTAGTACTGATTTTTTWAAAAAATCTAAGATAATGCTTTCATACTTCATTGTTAACTATTGTGGTCATGTTTGGTATTCATCTCACCATCACACTTTTTATTTTTTTTAAGAGAGAGAGAGAGAATTTTTAATATTTATTTTTTAGTTCTCGGCGGACACAACATCTYTGTTGGTATGTGGTGCTGGGGATMGAACCCGGGCCGCACGCATGCCAGGCGAGCGCGCTACCGCTGAGCCACATCTCCAGCCCACCATCACACTTTAGCACTAAGCTAATATTAAGAGATCTTGTTAATACTGTGGTTTTTAAGAAAATGTTCATTGCTTTTAAATTATTAGAAAAGTGGTATAACAAATGAGAGATATTTTAAAGCAGCAAACATACTTTAAAATGGTTCTTAATGACTTAAACTTTTATTAATAATTTTAAAGCAAGTTTTCTTATTTATATTAAATTGCCATTTTCTGGGATACTAAAAACGACTTTCCCCCCTTCTTCTCTGCATCAAAATAGCCTTTACATCATTTGTAGAAATAACTTAGTTATCATAGTTTTAAAAAGAGTAAATGAATATTTCTAATATCTGTAAAACACCAATATTAGAAATACAGTGCCTTTTTATTACAAGGTACATTTCAAAACACATTAGACCTACAAGAACAAATAACTGTGTTTTGGACATTCAGTTACCAAAAATCATTTTTTGTTATCTTAGAATATAAAAGCAAATGCTTGCATAATGTACATGTACAAATGGCTACTAGGATTACTCCTCCAAAATAAAAACATCATTGTTTCTAAGCTATGCAAGTTCTACTTTTACTGATAACATTCAAAGTATTTTTTAATACAGCAGAATATATACTACTTAACATTATAAATGTAAATGCAGTTTTAATGTTGTTACATTAAATATATTACACTCTGAATTTTAGCTCATGGAAATAATGTTAACTTAAAATATTAAATATGGTGAAAATTAAAGCAAATCATTTGCTTTCATCTTATAAGATCCAAGGTATGGCTTGATTTACTTCTTCCCTTCTAATCTACAATGTGGGCACAAATCATCAGACTACAATCAGTCTGAGTACGGGCATATATAACAATGAAAAAATAAAAAAGCCTTTCACGGGAATTTGCTAAAAGAAATAAACAATGTAAAACTTAGTTGTTTCTTATTTTTCCCCCTAAAACTACTTCAACTTCTAAAAACTACCAGTTGATAACCTACTAAATATTTTTAGACCTGGATTGGTGACGGATAGGGGAGCAACAACTGAAGCAATTTAATACTTTAAAAGTCTTTTAAACAACTCCACCCATAAATTATTTAACCAAATAAATTCCCCTGTCCCAATGACGATCAAGAGTTTTTTTTTCCCACAGTGATAAATAATCACTTTACCATTAGCTCTTTCTTGTCTAGCACGTTTGAAGAATAAGATGGAATTTAATTTGAGCTGAGTATAACTTGGGTGGGTGGGGTTATGGATTACATCAGCAAATGGAGAGAAACCAGACGCCTGAGACTTGTACGCACTTCTGCATTTGGTTGGATACTTCACAAATGGTACATTCTTCTTTAAAATGGCTCTACCTGCCCCGCCCCAGCCGGGTATCTCTCTGCTTGCTCTCGCGCCCTGACCACTTTGCTCTTTACCGCAGGTCATGATGATGGGCAGCGCCCACATGGCGGAGCTGCTCTTACTCCACGGCGCAGAACCCAACTGCGCTGACCCTGCTACCCTCACCCGACCAGTGCACGATGCGGCCCGGGAGGGCTTCTTGGACACGCTGGTGGCGCTGCACCGGGCAGGGGCGCGGCTGGATGTGCGCGACGCCTGGGGCCGCCTTCCGGTGGACCTGGCTGAGGAGCTGGGCCACCGCGAGGTCGCAGAGTACCTGCGCGCGGCTGCTGGRGACTGATTGCAAGTTCCCCCAGCTGCCCACAACGACTTTTTTACCCCCCAATACCCTACCCCCACCTAATTTAATGCAGGCTGCGTAAGTGGAGCGGCACAAAGCCTGCAAGCCTTTCTCAGAAACTCCACTTCCCAGAAGAAGGAGGAGCCAACCCGGAATAAATTCATATACTTTTTTTTTTCAATCCGAATCCTACCCTCGACACTCACCGTGAAGCCAAAAGCAGAGGGGTGGGGCAAATGGATCGCGGAGATTTATTATGTGAAGTACCTGGTGTCCTTTACGCTTCAGGATTTTCTGATGTAAAGTGAATGTGAAAATCTTGAAGGACCCCGGGTTCCTAGGAATCTTCCAATGTTTGACTCTGGGGTCGGAGCTGGAGGTGACAGGGATTGGCGTTTGGGCGTAGGACAGTGGGTAGTTTTGCCCCACAGACCTCGGAAGAGATTCCTTTGAACACCAGATACGGGTGGTAGACCCTAGAGGAGAGACGCCAAACCAGAAGACTGAAGACCAAAGGAGGAGGTTTGAGGTGGGTGTGAGCTGGGAACGACGACATATTTTTGCACAGCAAGGCTCTGGGTATTCACGCCCAGCTCCACCCGAGACGGAGGGAGAAAAGAGGACATGGATGCGATGGCAGATCTGCCCCATATGTTAAAATCCCTGGATCAGGATGATGTAAAGGTGCTGGCTCTTTCTATTATTCCACAAAGTGCGGTTGCTGCTATGTTCTGGATGTGGACGGATTAAAACGGTGCACGGAATGAAGCAGTGGAATGTAAAGAGAGCAACAATATGACTAACTATTTGCTTCATCTACATACCATAGGATACAGAAATCCCCCTATGAACTGTCACTTAAAAAGATTGTGATAATTTGTACTTTTGAGGTGTTGTAACAGTGTATTTAACGGGAAGAATTTAACAAAATAACTCCTGGCTTTCAATAAAGTGGTAAGGCAGAGCTAGCTTTTTAATGAAGCTACAGCACTGTGACAAACTCAGTGCCAGTTTCTAGATTGCTTTCATCCTTAGCCTATTTATTTCTTTGTTTAAATTGTCTAATTATTTTCTCTATAGTATCTCAGGGGAAATATTCCAAATGTCTTTTAGAAGTTAGATGCACTTGTCTARTAAATTATCTTGGGATATTTCCCAAAAAGGTAGCTGGAAAAATAGATTAGGAAGCTGTTGAAAATACATAATGATGGCTTGTGGGATGGCTTCATATCTGCTGACCAAACTAACAGTGCACTGCTCTGGGATTTAATTTCCAATGTTGCTTGATCATTATAGCATTGGAACAACTGATAATTCACTGCTTTAATAAAGAATAAACACAGACTGAACTCCAAGACATGAATAATTTGGTTTAAAAATGCATTATCATGGGTTTACCACTACTCCTGAGAAATGAAGTTTCAAAAGGATTCATTTTTCCCTTGTAAAATAATTGTTGATAAGTGATTCTAACAATTAAAAATGCTTACATATACCATAGAAAGTGAAATACAAAATTTATACATTCATTATGCTTCTGAGTTCAGTTGACTATTAAATATAGATTTAAAAGAGAAAAGAGGGAATAGAAAAAAATTTGAGAGTAGAGATTTATAAGGAAGGGTGCTTTTGAACTAAAAACACCAATCATTACTTCTCTATTAATTCCTTATTCCCAAAATTAACATATTACTGGGGAAGGTTAGTGGAGAACTGGACCATATCTAATTGGGGAAGAGATATATAGGGTATTAAATTTTTTATTGATGCATTATAATTATATATCATAATGGGATTTATTATGACATTCGTACACGCACAAAACACAATTTGTTCAGTTTCATTCCTCAATACTTCCCCCACCTCTTCTCTTCTTCCTCCCCCTAATATCCTTCCTCTCTATCAGTTTACTTCACCTCTCTTCTTTACCCCCCTTTCTCTCTCTAGTTTCCACATATGAGAGAAAACATGACTTGTTCTTTTGATATAAATACCAAGGAGTCATTACTAGTCTTTTTAAAATATTTTTTAACATTTTTTTTTGAGAGAGAAGTTTTTAAATATTTCTCTTTTAGTTTTCGGCGGACACAACATCTTTGTTTGTATGTGRTGCCGGGGATCCAACCCGGGCTGCAAGCATGCCAGGCGAGCGCACTGCCGCTTGAGCTACATCACCAGCCCCTCATTACTAGTCTTTTGATAAACTTTCATACTGATCATCATAGTGGTTGCACTTCCACTTCCACCAACAATGCATATGTATTCCTTTCCCCCTACATCCTCAAGAGATATGTTTATTGACACATAATTTGTAGCAAGCATGCTTTACAGTTAACACAGCCCTGAGAGATAGGTGTTATTTCCCAGATGAGGACAATAAAGCAGAGAAAGATCAAATAACTTGCAAAGGTCAGAAAGTATTTGTTTCATGATGGGCAAAGTAAGTCCATCTGGCTCCAAAGCTTCTGAGTTCTCATTTTTTGTTTTGTTTTTAAATTTACAAACAATAGAATTTTATTTGGCTCATTAAACTGGAGAATGAAAAGGGCCTTCTTGCTGCATCATAGTATGGTGGAAAGCACCACCATGGGGTGGAGGGATTTCAAACTCCAAACCCTTTCACAATCCTCATTAATCCACTCATAAGGGTGAAGCCATTACAATCTCAACATATCTCATTAGGCCCCATCTCCCAACATTATTGCATTGGGGATTAAGTTTCCAGCACATACTTGGGGTAGGGGGAGCACATTTAAACCAAAGCATAGATCCTTTCTCATGTAGCACTTTATCATCCAACCTTGCTAATCTTTTTAGACTCACCTAAACATGTTATGTTCTTACCCTCACATCTTTGCATATAATATATAATATATATATATATATATATATATATATATATATATATATATTCCTGTATATTCAGTCTAGGCATCCTTTATGTATCCTGCTAGGATCAGCTTAAGGAACAAGTTGTCAAGTAAACCTTTCAGTAACTGTTGAATATGTGCTGGCTGAAAACAGATCAGAACAACTACCTTATCCTGAAGCTGAAGTGGGGGCCCTCCTCTATGACACTCTACATGTTCCCCTAGCATAGAGTTAATTAAACCATATCAGTGATTGATATTTTTCTCTCTCCTGCAATACTGTAAACTCATCAATCGCAAAAAGCATATCTTATTTTTTAGTCCCTGTGAATCCCAGAATCTGAGACACAGAACTCAATAGATAAAAAGAGACATTTAATGCTATTGGTTACAGAGGAAAAAAAAAATATTCTGATGTAAATTTCAATGTTTATGGATAGACAATGTTTATGGATATCTTTCTTTAGATAGATAAATAAATCTAAAAGGTAAATCTAAATAAAGAAAGATAGTCTAAAGAAATCTAAAGAAAGATAAATAAATATTGCTTTCTACTCAAAAACAAATCTGTCCCAGGGCTGGGACTGGGGATGTAACTCAGTGGGTTCAGTGAGTGCCCTTGGGTTAAATCCCAGGCACCAAAAAAAAAAAAAAAAAAAAAAAAAAATCACGTTAAAAATCTAAAAATAGTTTATTGTTGGGAGAGTTAGTGTTGTAAAATTGTATCATGATTAAGTAATTATTGAGCTAATACATTGCGTAGTGCTAGGAATATTTTATTTACACAGATCCAAAACAATCCTCATGAGTCTTTCAACTACATGCATTTTTAAAATTGGTTCCACAGTGTATTGTAGTTTTAGAACATTAGAAAATTTTTTAAAAGGACATGATACAGACAATGTAATATATACTTTATGAAGCTACAGTCCTAAAACTATTACATGATTCCCATCAGTGTGTGGAATTTCAATGTATGGTAGACATAGTGTAAAACTGATATTGTAACCAATACCAATAACTTGTTACATTTGTAGTTAGTACTAATTTAGCTACACAGAAATGACTAATGAACTGCAGTGAACAGTCCACTAGTCCTGGGTGAATCTCTAGGTCAGTCAACACAGGAAGTGTTTAGTGCATTTAGAAAATTTTTAATTCAAAAGAATTTATCAGCCTGTGAATGGTGTGGGGTTTAAGAACATGTAGAACACATATGCAAAAGGTATTTTACCTTTCTCCTTTTTCCTTTTTTTTCYTTTTACTGTAAATTGACAATTTATAATCATTGCACTTACAGGGTACAAAATGATGTCATGATTTATAAAGACAGTGTGGAATAATTAAATCAAGTCAATTAACTATTACCACAAATAACTATGCTAAGTGAAATGTCAGGTAGAGAAGAACAATGCGAAATGTTCTCATTGATATGTGGAATCTAAAATGAATTTATAGAAGTAGAGACTGGAGCATGGGGATGATGGTCAAATTAGTACAAAATCTCCTAAGAGGAATATGTTTCCCTTTTAGGTCTATTGAACAGATTGGTGAATATAGTCAATAACAGTATTGTACATTTCAAAATGATCAAGATAGACAGTTTGAATGTTCTCACCACAAAGCTTACAGTTTTGTTTTGTTCCCTTTGACCTCTAAAATCATGAATAACACATGAGGAAAACAGCTATTTAATAAAAAATTTTTAAGCAGAAAGAACACAATGATCTCCCATTTTACGTTCCTAGGGTGGCTTATAAATTCTGGTAAATGTAAACAGAGTGTTTTAAATCTTTCTTTCAAAACTCTTGAAAAAAAGATAATGGAACCCTCATTTTCAAATTAAGCCACAAGGACAGAAGCTTTAATCCTAGTTATCACTTAGGTACTCAATAAATTATTGGCTATATGAATATTATTTTAAAATCTATATTGTTCTACAATTACTAAGAAAATATACTGTAAAAAAGACGTCAACTGATCAATCTCCTATTTGTTTTATAAAATCCTTAAGGATTCATACAAACACATATAGTTACTATGTTCGTGAGCCCTGCTTCTTCCTCCATTGAGTAACTACAGAAAATTAAATATACCTAGTAATTTGTGTAACTAGGTCTAAAATATTACCAAGGTTTTTACGAATCCTACTACCTGACCTT